AGGTTTATCATTCTCGATACTCCAGACCCTGACCCTTGCTCCATCAAGGATCTGTCAGTATAACAGTTAACTCCATTGCACGGTCTATGTGAGTTATTTCTGTCTAGCATCAGATTATACAGTATATCTCTTTAATTATCAATTTGAAGGCCAGAGTTCATTTCAAGCACCTCATTGCTATAAATCCTATCAAAAACGATCCCATGACATTGAAATTTGTTGAAGGTTGCAAAAATTATAAAGAAGAAAAAATATTAATTTTTATTTTTTCACTGTGATTGCAACCTTCAACCAACAAAAAATATATTTTTTACCAAAAAGGTCCTTAATTTGTGTTCATAAGAATGGGTAATAAATGGAAAATAAATTTGTCCACTCTTGGCTGTTGACAAAGAAATGAATAATTTAGAGAAGACCTTGTTTAAAAAGCGATAGTGGTACCTACAAAAGTAAGATTCTCTGATACCCTTTCATAGCTGTACTACACGGTGGGCCAGACCCCCCCTATTGTGCACTCCCTCTCCCCCGCAAATCCCTATAAATTGCATATCGTTGTGTTCCTTGTAACTGTTTATTAAAAAAAAAGCCAATGTTCCCACAAAAAAAAGTGAACGCACTGCCCCAAAATGGCATCCAAAGATGGCGGATTTACGACTTTGACTTTAGTTAGTTTTTTGGTCACTGAGAATCAGCACTTGGCTCAATTTCCTCATGGTTGGTCTTTTATTAAAGCTGAATAGTCATAGAATAATAAAACATGAAGATATATTAAAAAATAATTGACTTAGGCAATAAAAAACACCAGTAAAGTCAAAAATTTTCGAGTTGAAAATAAAGCATCGTTTGTAATTAAACGGCTAACAATAACGCAAAATGTGCTCAAATAAAACATCTGGAGAATATATTCTTCTGTTTAAAACACTGATTAATTTCTAAAATATTTGAAGCAGTTCCGTAGAAAATGCACTTATGCGGGAGAAAAGCGGTGCCGGCTTTGGTGCCTACAAGCCTCTACCACCATTCTGTACACATAAATGGCTTAGTTATAGTGATATAATAACGTTTTTGGTACATTATATTGGTTTTATTAACAAACAATTATTAATGTAATCGTTTAATTGTAAAAAAAATTAAACAATTTTTTTTTTTAATTTATTATTTTAATTAACTTACTTTATTCTACACGGAAGTCGTTTAAGTAGACATCTATTGTAAAAATGATATAATTATATTAATAAAACTTAATTAAAAAATACTTTGTTGAATATCTTGAATTTTTTATTTAACGTTTGTAATTTAATTCTTTGTTTTGTATATTTACTGATTCTTAGAGGAAATTCAAATTGTACATACTTTCCAGGAAATGAGTCATATCAATACCTGTTTTATAAACTAAAATAATACCTAATCTGAACTACATATAAAGAATAGTTGCCGGATGCTTTAGTAAAATTTATTGTTATGAAATTGCGTAATAAATTGTTTGGAAGTTGGACCATTTCATAAATAAATAAATAAATTAATATTGAATGTAATATTCCCTCTGCACAAAGAAAGATGGAAAGGGCGTAACTATAAGTTCTTCTAGTAACTGGAACTGATTGTTTGGATTTGGTCTCAAAATCAGGGAAAACTCGCAATTGAACCCAAAAATTGGAAAAATACATTAAGCGAATGAGAAAGGAAGTGCCAAAATTTCGGAAAAGAAAAAAAGGACCAGTATCCATTATTTGGCTAAACGAATGTATGGTAGACAGATGAACAGAATATTTCAAGATGCTGCTAATAGCGAGTCAAATGCTGGAGAAGTTAGGATGATCTCTATTGGCAAGTCAGGGGGTCTGGACAAAGTAAACCGAACTGCTGCACGTATATAGGCAACAAATGTATTAGAAAATGATATGAAAGGACTGTAGTTTTGTACCTTTACAAGAAAGGAGATACTAGGAAATGTAATACCCATCGAGATTCATTCCTGTTTGGTGTACCAAAGAAACTCTACTCAAGAACCGTAGAGGCTAGAATAATAAATATTGGCGATTGCCAGAGCTACATAGTTGAGAGACCCTAGTTACACATTGAAAGAGAAGTTGCAAATTGGGACTATCTTTACTTTAAGGCAGATTATAGAGAAGTCCATCTAGAAAGAAAAATAGCTCTCTATCTGCTTAGTGCCTCACACTTTGGATTGTGCTAATATCTAATTGTCTTTCAGAAAAAGTTTTATTTCCTTTAAGATTCCTTAAAAAATCTTTTGCAAATGCCTTTCTCGATAGACCTCTCTATAACCTGCATCAAAGTAAAGATAGTCCCAATGTGCACCTTCAGTAGCAATCGAAAATAAAGTGGTCTTCAATGTAATAAACCTCCATTGTCCACTTAATATCATGTCAAGCTTCCAAACTGCATTTGACTGACCCCCTTTTAGCAGCATATTGAAATATTCTGTTCATCTGTCTACTATACGATATTTGGGTTCATTTCGCGTTTTCCCTCATTTTGAGACCAAATCCAAACAATCAGTTCCGGTTACTAGAAGAACTTATAGTTTCACCCTTTCCATCTTTCTTTGAGCAGACGGAATAATGCATTAAATATTAAAATTTCCTATTTATTTATGATATGGTTCAACTTCCAAACAATATATTACGGAATTTCATAACAATAAGTTTTACTAAAGCATCCGGCAACTATTCTTTATATGTAGTTCAGATTAGGTATTATTTTAGTTTATAAAACAGGTATTGATATGACTCATTTCCTGGAAAGTATATACAATTTAAATTACCTCTAAGAATCAGTAAATATATAAAACAAAGAATTAAATTGCAAACGTTAAATAAAAAATTCAAGATATTCAACAAAGTATTTTTTAATTAAGTTTTATTAATATAATTATATCATTTTTACAATAGATGTCTACTTAAACGACCTCCGTGTAGAATAAAGTAAGTTAAATAAGAAAATAAAATAAAATAATAAATTTTCAAAAAAATTGTTTAATTTTTTTACAATTGAATGATTGCATTAATAATTGTTTGTTAATAAAACCAATATAATGTACCAAAAACGTTATTATATCACTATAACTAAGCCATTTATGTGTACAGAATGGTGTGGTAGAGACTTGTAGGCACCTACGCCGGCACCGCTTTTCTCCCGCGTAAGTGCATTTTTTATGGAACTGCTTCAAATATTTTAGAAATTAATCAGTGTTTTAGAAAGAAGAGTATATTCTCCAGATGTTTTATTTGAGCACATTTTGCATTATTGTTGGCCGTTTAATTACAAACGATACTTTATTTTCAACTCGAAAATCTTTTTGTTAAAAGTTTTGACTTTACTGGTGTTTTTTATTGCCTGAGTCAATTATTTTTTAATATATCTTCATGTTTTATTATTCTATGACTATTCAGAATTAATAAAAGACCAACCATGAGGAAATTGAGCCAAGTGCTGATTCTCAGTTACCAAAAAACTAACTAAAGTCAAAGTCGTAAATCCGCCATCTTTGGACGTCATTTTGGGGCAGTACATTCACTTTTTTTTGTGGAAACATTGGCTTTTTTTTAATAAATAGTTTAAATAGTTTGGCTTTTTTTTAATATACAAGGTACACGATTGCAATTTATTGGGATGTGGAGGGGGGGAGGGTGCATGATAGGGGCATCTGGCCTACAGACTATACCACTAAAAGCCAAGAAGGGTCTTGGGTTCAGTACTATATAGGAAAGTACTGTTACAAGGTGAACAGTTGTGCAGACAGGCAATCGGACCAGGATCACGTTCAACCGCCAGGTTTTCCTCCTTAATTAATTATTTAATTAAGGGTACCCGCTTTGTAGAAGCTGATTGTGCCCCAGGAAGTTTTCCCTACCCCAGGGTTGCCCCATGGCCATTGAAACAGAATAAATAATGTTTCTGCCATGAACCAGGATTGAACCTGGGACCTTGAGCATTGGAAGCTTAGTACCCTACCACTGAGCTACCCCGCTCCCAATACCCTTTCAAAACACAAAATAATTTTTAAATTGCGTTTAAACATTTGAAATTTTAGGTAAAGATTGTAAACAGCTAAATGCTTAAGTTTGACAAACAGGATGAAATGTTATTAAAATGCAATATCATGGATATAATTTAGAAATTTTTTCATTAAAAATATTTGTTGACGCCCCAATGTGTCATATGTTTTATTTATTTAGTAAGACCAGCAGAGAACAAGTTTAGTGTAATTTAAAAAATAAAATAAAATACTGACAATCAACTTTTTTGGTTTTAATTTTACTTTGTTTACATTCTTTATATGTCAAATAAAAGTTGTTTTTTTCTTATTTGAGTTAACTTTAAAATGTTTTCAAAATTTTTAAGATTAAATGTAATTTTATTAAGTTTGTGATAGAATAATTTTTAAGATCTATTAAATTTTGAATCCAGTTATATGCTATGTTTCCTTGGTTAGGAATAAACTGTTTTTGCTACGAAATAGAGTGAAATATTTAAAGTTGGGTAAGCTGCATGAAATCAATGAGAATTGATAAAAAATGTATACCTCATTTATGGTGTAGAGATGGTTGACCGTGATATAATATGAGAAGGAGTTGGTTGGGTGGTGCGGTCAAATAAATATACTTCATTTCTCCTTATACTTCATATCCATATACTAAATAAATATACTTCATTCATCCATATACTTTATTTAGTTTTTCCATATACTTTATTTAGTTCTAATTACATCATGTATGTTGGTGCCTATGCTGACAGTTTTTATTATTCTTTGTTGATTATTTCTTGTTGTTGCTTCTTAAAGTTATTTGTACAATAATTTTTAATGAGTAGTAGGTATGTAATTTGTAGCAATTTATATAGGTGCGTATTGTGATGAAATACTCCAATTCTTTTGGATTTATCAGTCATAAATTAGCAAATTAATTATAAATAAGTAATTCATTTTAAATTTGTCTATTTGTTGCTTTGAAATAACAGATTAATGATTTACCTAGGATCCTGTTGTAAGATTACCTGAGATGGAGACTCTGCCATCGAATCTATTAGCAGCAGCATCTTCATTAATTTCACCTTGCAAAGGATTACTACCGCCTTCTGCCAGACCACCTCATCCATCTCAGCTTCCTATTCCTGTATATCTTTCACCTAAACTAGAAAAGGTAAGAATAAACTCTAGTGGCCATAATTGAATCTAATTGTAAACAAAGTGGTATTCACTAAAAATCTCACAAAATCTAATAATGATTTAAAGTAGTTCATTGCCTTCATTTTTATCAAGCCTGATTATTGATAAAAATTATCTTATACATATATACATTAAAGATTTAAAATTGTTTCACTTTTATTTGTTAATATATACTATTATTTTTTTATACTTAATGTTTATAGCATAATTGAGATTTTTGTAAAAAGCACTGGTGTATTTCAGGCAAATAATTTGTTTGTTGTATTTATATTTTGAAAAAAAACAGACAATTTTAAATAAATTATTAATTGATTTACTATGAAACATGTAAAACAAAAGTAATTGAAAGATTTTTAATGATTTATTCTAAATGTTTTGATTGAAAACATTGGTACTTTGTGGAGACAGATTTCCACATCACATAATCTTTTTATAAAATTGGTGGCAAATCTCAACTTAATTAATATGGAACTAAAGCTTGTTAAAAAAGGAATTTTTTTTAATCCTTGATCGTGAATCGTGAATAATCCTTGATTTTATGAAAAGCAGAACTGAAGGTAGTTTAGTTGGTTAATATTCTCCTTAAAATGACACCAAAGACAAATTTTACTTGTATTTGAAGGAATTGTTTTGGTACTCTTTAAATAGCCGGTCAGGACCTACTGCTATCTGGCAATGTTTATATTATAACCTTAGCACTGATAATTCTGATAAGGCACTGATAATTCCTATCTTCATATTCATATTTATTGTGTTATATTCATATTATTGAAATTGCAAACAAAAACAATAAATGTAATAATAAAAAAATACTTTTATTTTACAAGATATACATTAAATAGACGAAAATAAATGTAATAATAACAAAACATTTTGATTAAATACTTTTATTTTACAACATATATATTAAATACAGGAAAACAAATGTAATAATTCCCACAACAATAAAAAAACACTTTAATTGTACTACAGATATATGAAATGGACAAAAATAAATGAAATAATAAAAAACCACTTAAACAACATATGTTCATATAAAAGAAACAATGTAAACACTATAAACAAAATATGTACATAAAAAACAATTTTATTTTCACTTAATTTATTTTGTCCTTTCTGTCATTTATTTTGATGATAAAACACTCCTCTGTTTCTTGGCAAACTTCTCCAAACATCCATTGTTCCATTTGTTCCACGTTATCATAGTTGGCTTGGATAGTTTCAGCTGTTCTTTGCCCCACTGTATTGTTGTTAAATTTTGGGACCACCCTTAAATGAATTTTAAAGCCGTTAAAAAATAAATCCTTGACCCCTCTAACCAGTTCCTTTCCTTATAGAAACGTTTTTGTTGCAAGTGGTACGAAAGCATCTCCATTTTGTCTTCCCGTCAAACTTCATTTCATGGCTTTCATCACAATATTTCACCTTTGCAATTATCCGGGCATCTTGAAAATATTTGATAGCCTCTTTTCCTGAAGACAGCAATTTCCACAATGTAATAACATCCATAATTTGACGAAAATCACACTAATGGAACGAAAATAAACAATGGAATAACTCAGCTTATACTAGATAAGAAGGGAGGTTATGTGATATAACATTAGATAACAAGGAAGGTTTTTTCCCGACCGGCTATTTAAGGAGTACCAACTTTTTCATTAGCAACATTAATTCTGAATCATAGCAGTGCATTTGTGCTTGCATCTCTTAGTTTGTAAAATTTCCTGATCATTGTTTGACTTTTCCAGGTTAAAAAAATCCCCAGACTTTTTTTAATCCTAATTTTCCAATGGTATGTCAGTCTGTTTTACATTTTTCAGAGGTTTGCATTAAACTCTGTTAGCTCCTTGGTTTTTTAAGATATTTGTTTCAAACTAAAAATAAGTTTTAAAATATGGAATGTATAACATTTTCTAGCCAGTGTATATAATGGAACATAATTGTAAATGAGCAAAAGTAATAAGTGAATGTTAAGGTTTTTTTAAGTAATGTTCATTTTGATCTCTATAAATTTCTTCATAAAGATGATTGTGATTGCTATGAAGGTTAAAAAATATATAAGATATTTTCAGAAGAAAGTATCAATTCCACCAATGTATATATATATTTTGAATGAAATGTATTAATTCAATTTATATATGCACTGCAGTGCTTGGGGTAGAACTAGACACAACCATGTGTTCATTAGCAAAACAAGCTGTCACCTACTGTATGTGCAATTTTTTAGCTTTTTTTCATGCCCAGTTCTGATTCAGAGTAGGATATAATACTTTCCAAAGTCTATTCCTGTATTCTGAAAAATCAATTATTTCTATCTGATACTTAAATACTTTTCATTCACTATGCTAGTGGTAAATATATAATTTTAACTAGCTCTATTCAACAAAATTGTTAAAACATTTTTGTAGCCATTAATATATATGATAAAGCTTGTCCTGCTAGTCCTACGAAATCAATCCCTGCTTCTCCTTATTCAATGATCTCTTTTATCTTACAGTGCGGTGATGTTTGCACAAGGAGTTGAGGCACAAGGAAGGGCCAGGGGGCAGAGGATTAATACCAGAGTTAAAAGCCCCTCTCCCCAACACCAGGATGCAAACTCATACTTATTTTATCTTCTGTAACTTCGGTTATCTATCAGGTTGCCGGCCAACGCGCAGTGCTATGCACATCTGCCATCCAGCCTCGTTTGTACAATGAGTGCCATCTGTCTGTGTCGAGGGCTGCTTTCCTGATTTTCAGCCATCCCATCCTATTTGTTTTAAGGTATTGTTTAGATTATCCTTCCTAGCAATCTTTGGCCTTCCTTCAGGTTGTTTTCCCATTGGTTTAACTTCCACAGTTTTCTACACTGAAAGGCAGTCATCCATCCTCATTGTATAAGCTGACCATTGAAGCTGCCCTTTCTCAATTAACTGAAATTGAGGGGTTCCTTTTGAGTGTAGTACATATCATTGTTTTCTATTTTCCTTAAATACATCATTTTCATGTTTTGGTGGCAGCTGCGATCAAATTGCTTTAGGATTCAGGATTTACTTCAATATGTGAGAATAGGGGTGAACTTAGAAAAATAAACTGCTAGTTTTCTTTTGCAATTTCTCTTTTACTTACACATTTTTTATTGATAGTAGAAAATATCTTTCCTGAAGTATATTGCAATTACGTTTGCCAGTAGCTTTCCTTCACTGTCTGCTCTTAGCATGTCTTTAGCAAATTGAAAGGATACACAGTTCACAGGTTGTAACTTTCAGTATCCGAATTGTGTCTCTTGGATTCTCTGCTTTCATTCTTTAATTACATCATCCATGAGGGCGATGAAATATAGAGGGTTCCCTTTGTCTCACTGCCTGAACTCCATTCTTAAAATGAAAATGAAATAAAAAAATGTCTTGATAATCTTGGTACAAAGTCCCTTCAGAAAAAAATTAAAATAACACTGCATAGCGTCCAAAACAGTGCAGCCAGACTCATTAATATAAACAAAAATAAAGTGTAAAGGAAAATACTGTAACTAAAACAACAAAACTACATTTTAAAAAATTAATTAAAGTTAATTAAATTTTATTTTTAATTAAATTTTATTATTTTATTTATCAAATTAATTAATAAATAAAAATAATAGATATGTGGAAAATAGCACTTGAATGAACTCTGACAAACATTTGAAATATATAGAAAGTGATTTAGTATTAACTAATATTATTTGGACTTGTCAAGAAAAATATGATGTAAGAGGAGAGTTTTGAACAAGGAAACTGTTGAAGTATAGAGGATAATAGGAGGGATAGTGTTCCAGAAGGAGGAAGCTTGGGTTAGGAATTTGTCAATCAATTAGTCAATTAGAAAGAATTTGTCAATCATAGCAGTTCGGTAGAGGGACAGTAAAAGTCAGAAGGATGAGATCGGTTGGGTCGGGATTGAATAGAAGATTTAAATTGCAGGCTCTGTAGTATGTAGGATAGGTTCTGAATTCTGATAACCTAATATAGGAAGGATACAAATGAAATGAAGACATCTGTGACATAGGTGGAGCCACTTTACCATGACATAATACTGGATTATTCACATATCTCTGGCAAGAAGACCTTGGTGATTCCAAGGTTTTTAACTGAGGTATGGAATGAGATAGGTGTGTTGTTCAGATTGAGGTAAGGCTGTCCTGGAAAAGAATTGAGGAAGGAAGAGAATCGAATCATAATGGATTTGGTCTTCTCAGCATTAAGGGTAAGCTTATTGTGGGAGGCCAAAGCGTTTATGCCGTTGAGGTCTTCCTTTAGTTTTATGAATGCATTAGAGAAATCAGCAGGTTCATAGGAGAGATAGATTTGAACATTGTTGACGGCATATAAACCTCTTTCATTCTCTCAGCCTTTACATAGTACCCTACAATCCAACCCATCATACTCAGTACTCAGAGACCTGGATCGATCTAATTATTCTAGATTCTTCAGACAAACTCCTTGCTGCATCTCAGCACCTGGTCCCATTTCTATCTTCCCACGATCTTACCCAGATCTCTTACAATGTCCTTGTCCCATCCTTTCCTCTCTGAACAATATCCTTCCGAAACCTCTATTCTCTCACTCACGAAACACTGTCAAAATATCTTGACGATATCCAGTGGGATCCCAGCTACTCCTCAAAATCCATAGACACCATGGTAGAAACTCTTACCACTCAACTTCACTCTATCCTCGACCGACATGATCCTCTTATCATAAAAACCATCCGATATCCTCCAGCTCCTTGGCTTACTTCCGCTTTGAGAGAGTGTATGAGAGAAAGAGATGCTGCAAGGCGACGGTTTAAACGAACTCGACTTCCTGATGATTTTCTCTCCTTCAAACAGCTTCGAAACAGCACTCAATCAGCAGTACGCCGTGCTAAATCCCGTTACTACCATCATTCCCTATCCAACTCTCCTAATATCAAGGCCACGTGGACTATTCTTAGAAAACTGAATATCGGTAACGCATCCCAGTCCCAGTCCAATTCCATTTCTGTTGATAACCTCAACGCTCACTTTGTCTCCTGCCCTCTTGCAACCACATTTCCTACTTCCAGTCCGGCTCCTATGTTCTCTTCCTTTAATCCTGATCACTTCTTTCTTTCCCATATTACACCAGATGATCTCCTTAAATCCATTCAGAAGTCCCATACCAATGATTACGGTCCTGATAACATCACAGTCAGACTGATTAAAGCCGCATTGCCATCCGTTCTTCTGATCCTTTATCATATATATAATTATTTTCTCCAAAATGCTACCTTCTCTACATCCTGGAAAACCGCCCTAGTACACCCCTTGAAGAAGACCTCAAACTCATCAGCTCTTAATGATTTCCGACCGATTTCCTTTCTTTCAAACCTATCAAAACCTTTAGAGCGATTAGTCCAAACCCAGCTATCCCATTTTTTAGAGGACAATAATCTCCTAAATCCCTACCAGTCCGGTTTCAGGCCTGGTTATTCTACCCAGTCTGCCCTAATCAATATTTCCCAAGACCTTCACACAGCCATAGATCAGCAGAAACTAACCATCCTTATTCTGCTAGACTTCTCCAAAGCTTTTGATTCAGTGGACCACAACACCCTCCTAACCAAACTTAAAAATATCTCTTTTTCTTCTAGTTCCCTTAATTGGTTCCAATCCTTCCTTACTGGTAGCTCCCAGTATGTTGTAATTCCTAATAACCCCCCCCCCCTCAGAATCTCTACCTCTGACCACAGAGGTGTCCCACAAAGCTCTTCCTTATCCCCCACCCTTTTCTCCATCTATATAAATGACCTACCATCCTCTATCCTGCACTGTCAATCCTGCAATGTATGCCGACGACATTCAAATTTACATTGATCGGATCTCCCTCACTCCTCAAATCCTACCCGATATCTCCCAATCTCCTCCTGAACAACTCACCTATCTTATTCCACACCACCATTAAAAACCTAGGTGTTACTTTTGATCAAACCCTATCCTGGAAACCATGCATCTCCCAAATTTCCCGTCGCGCTATCTCCACTCTAAAGCAGTTCAATCGTCTACAATATCTCCTTCCATATAAGTCCCGTCAATTCCTAGTTTCCTTCCTTGTTTTCCCCCACTTCAACTATGGTTGTATGCTGTACGGTGGACTCTCGGGAGATTCCGAGGCCAAACTTAAACGCCTAATGAATTGCGCACTACGATTTGTTTTTGGAATCTCAAGGGATACGCATATTACCCAGTATTACACTGAGTTGAGGTGGCTCTACCCATCCTATCGCCGTCAGTACTTCTTAGCTACCTTTCTGTACCAAATCATTAGAACTCATCAATCCTCCTATATTTTTCACAGCTTACAATTCAAATACTCCCTCTGGAATTCCATCCCTGCTGATATTCGACACGCTCAATCAGTTTCCTCTTTCAAACCTCTTCTCTTTAAACACCTACTCCTTTCTCAATCCGACTGATTGCGAAATATACTGAAGAGAAATATCCAAGCACCCCCAGAGACTACCTCAATTTATTTAGGTTATTTTAGTTTCTCATTTATATGTACAATTTTCTTGTTATTTTCTTTCTCTTCTTCAGTATTTTTATTTTTAGTCAACTCTTATTGTAAATATATAATCTAATTGTAACCACAGAGACATACAATCTGTATTTATAATTTGTTCTAAAGGGACAACAGTCCCAGAATAATAAAATATTTTTTTCATTTTCATATAGATGATATTGGTTACCAAGGGGCACTGTGTAGTGGTGATCTGTCTTCACCCCTTACCCAGCCCCTTCTGTCCCTTTTTAGGACAAACTAGGTCATAGCCTGTTGGTTAAAAAACCATGAGCCAGAGCAAGGTGGTTTATTGTGGATATTGTGGTTTATTGAGCAATTCTCCTTGCTCGTATGAAGCGGATAATGTCACAAGATTTAGCTCATATAGTTCGCTGTTCTTCTGGATTCTCCATTCACCCTCTTTCAATACAGGTCCATAAATTTTACAGAGAATTTTCCTCTCGACAACCTCCAACGTATTTATTGTGGGGGTACAAAGAGTCCAAGTTTTCACAGAATATGTCACTGCTGATCTTACCAATGTTTTATACAATCTTATTTTTGTTGTTCGTGACAACAGCGATGAGCAAAAGAGTTTTATGTTTGCTTAATAAGCCCGGTTACCTGCCATAATCCTTCTAATCACTTCTGCTGATATTTCATTTGTGTAATTAAGCTCTACACCAAGATAGGAGAAGGATTTAACATTTTCAAAAGAAAAATCTTCAACACATAGATCTTCTCTACCTCTTGAATCACTGCCTGAACAAACAAACACTCCACCTTGCGCCTTCAACAGCTTGAACAAATCGATAAGAGATTGCTTATTCCTTGCCACTAAGCAAAAATCATCAGCGTATGCACATATTTGAATGGATGAACGCAGTATATCCCCATTGGAGTTTAGGTTCACAATCACACTATGTAGTGCAAGCTTAAATAGTGTAGCAGATAGCGCATCTCCTTGCCTAACTCCAGCAGTGACTGCAAAACTGTGACTAAGTGTACTATTAATACACACTTTAGCATTACTGCCATCCATAGATATTTGTATCTAGCCAATTAGTTTATTTGGAATGTTGGTATCTTCTAGAGCACGTATCATGTTACTTCTGTTCACACTGTCGAAAGCACGGCGGTAGTCTATAGTAAACATCATGTGAATCAGTTTTATACTCCCAGCACTTTTCCATTAATTGTCTCATAGCAAAGATTTGATCCAACATTCCCCTGCCCCTGCGGGATCCGCATTGGTATTCCTGTAGAACATTCTTAGCAAACTCATTTAATCTCTGAACCAATATGTTAGAGAATATTTTGTACACTACTCCTAAGAGCGATATTCCTCTATAATTTTCGCTGAGCAGCTTGCCTTTTTATGTATAGGGTAGATTAAACTTGTTTTCCACTCTGCTGGCATGCATATATGCATAGGATATATGCAGTCCCATATATCCTCAATTAGCAAGTATAATTGATTATTTAGCTCCTCTCCACGTATTTTAAAGAATTCCGCAATCAGAAGGTCTTCTCCAGGAGCTTTGTCATTTTTTAATTTGTTAATTGATTCTACCACTTCCTCAATTGAGAGCAGTTCTAAATCAGATAAGTTTTCTAACTCCAGTGTCTCATTAGGATCTGTGCTTCTTACATTCAGAAAATCATTGAAATGTTCCTCCCATTTGTCAATTACCATATTTTTTTTCCAATATATTTTTATTTTTATCTTTACATGCATCAACCTTTTTTTTTTTTCTTTTCTTTTATTATTTAATGTTCAATAATTTACTTCAGGAAGAGTTTTATGTTATTATAGGTATAATGTATGACAATTTTTCTCTTCCTTATATGTTAATTTATTTATCTGTCCAACGTTTCGGAATCTTTACACATCTTCAGTAGCATTTCTTTAACTTCTGAATGTTTTTCCTTTATCTCATATTCTTCTAATGCATGTTATTAAACATTTGCCTTTCTTCCTATATTCTGTTTAACAATTTTAATATATAAGATATATAAAATTGTTGTAAAATCCTTATAAAATTTGATAAACCATAATGAACTTTTTTTTTACAGTTTGAAGTTGATAAAAAAGGTAGCTTATCACCAAAAGAACAAGAAAAGCAAAAAACTCCAAATACTGCCTTAAAACGTGAGTCAAACAAAACTGAATAATTTAATAACACTATTATAACTAGCATTTATGTGACATGTTTGTTCAAAGAAATACTGATTGCTTATAAATGTATGATTAGCTACTTGTAGAATAAGTGTGATCTCTTACTTCACTGGTTCTTTAAAATATAATCATTTAAATAAATCCCTATCTTAACTCTACTTCATCAATTTCATTGTGTTTCACTAATCTATAACCATAGCTGATGATTAACTATGTTATTGTTATAAAATATTAATAATAATAAAAGGCTTAGCGAACCCGAAGGTTCGATGCCGACACCACCAATCACTTATTACACACCTCCCTCCACCAGTCGCCATCCAACCTCAGTCCCTTCAGACCCGCCTTAATGGAATCTTCCTAGTCTACCCCTTGGACATTTACAGGTCGCCACAGCAAATATTAACCGTAATTTGCCAGAACATCAGTACAATCGTCAAGAAGAGAAGAAACTATCTAAACTGTACAACGAAGTGCTGTTCTTGCCGAGAGAAGTTATAATTTAATATTTTGTGGGTTGTTTAGACATATGTTCATAATTGGATAAAAAGGAACCTATTACGCGGACTGCAAGTAACACTCATGTATTTCCTTTAATATTTAAAATCCATTCACAATTTTTACTTTCCTATACTAGGTAAGGAAAGTATTGCAATTAGGTCAAATTTCCGATGTGTGGTTTTCGACGGATCTGTACGTTTCAGATACCCCTGAATCCGAACATCACATTTTTAGCCATTGGTCTGTCTGTGCCAAGATTATCTCAGAAACTGTTAGACTGATTTTGTTGCTTCTTTTGTTATTTTGTAGGGTTTTGACTAATGACGCCTGTGACACAAATTGGGTGCTCCCTGCGCAATAAATGAAAAACATATTTTCTATAGACTGGCACAAAAATGGCTCGATTTTGATGAAACTTTCCTATAATTTTCTAATTAATGTCCTTTCAATTTACGCACATATACTAAATTCCTGACAAATTCAATAAAGAAAGTTATAAAGAAAAGAAAAATTTTTTGGGCCGAACTCGCTAAGTGTATATTCTATGGTAAAATTTATATACAAACTTTTGAAAGATAATTAAATTACCTATAAAACGACAAACAAATTATCGGAATCGAAGCAGTATTAGCGATGATACAGGATATTCTATTTTCTACACATGTTTTAATTATTACTTTCCTACATATACTAGGTAAGGAAAGTATTGCGATAGGATCAAATTTCCGATATGTGGTTTTCAACAGATCTGTACGTTTCAGAGCCCCCTGGGTCCAAAAAACGCATTTTCAGCCATTGATCTGTTTGTATGTCTGTGTCAAGATTATCTTGGAAACTAATGGACTGATTTTGCCCCCTGAGTCCAAAAAAAACTTTTTAGCCTTTTATTTTGAAAGGTGGCAAAATCCGTTCATTTCGGACAACTATTAACGAAGATACAGTTATTTAATTTCTTATGTAAGATTATCAGTTCAAAAAAGTCCCGGTGCTAGAAAGGGGACAGAAAAAAGAAAAGTAAGTGAAAGTAAAAAATCGAGTGCCCATATCACACAAGTTTCACTATTTCCTCTACTTTCAACATAAATCATTGTCTGACAAAATTGGGCTATGGCAAAAAGTTTTTGATTAGCAATATTAGAGTGAATTGAATTTTTTACCCTGATCATCCACAAGACGGTTTACATTGCTTTAGTTTATCAAAGAAATCATACTCATTTCTTTTCCTGGATCAATTTTCAGGAAAATAAATCTAATTCAATGTTTTTTTGTTTTGTTTTTTTATCTTAATAGACTTATTTAAACATATAAAAACTTTTCTGAAATTAGTAGGAAAGTCGTGTGAGTGGGGACACGCCAGATTTTTTTTGTATAGTAATTAATTGTTTTAAATGAATATTATAATTTCACTTTCACTTCCCAACATATTAAAATACTTATTTCTATACAAGTTAAAGTCGTGAAATTTATGTGATGCGCTAGATTTATGTTTTATCTCTTTCCCTTTCACTATTTTCTTTTTTAAAAAACATATTGTTCCTTTTCTTTATTTTTTTTTTGCATTTTAGGAAAATTGAGGTTGGCAGCTCAGTTTCAAACTCCTATTGACCTTGACCAGTAACATCTTTAAACAAGCAACTGCACTATTTTATCTTTTTTTATCATATTTGTTTATTTAAAATAATTTTTACTGTTTGAGATTTTGATGTTATGTTTTTGTTTTATTTTTTTCATATTTCATGTATTTATTCAGGGAAATAATAATATATATTGTTTATATAAATATATATATATACATATCTATATATCATTGTATATAAAGTTAAAACCCTGACTTTTATTTTATGAACTCAGTATATTCATTTTCTAGTGGTATTTGATATAATATTAGTAAGTTTTATATATTCTTCATGCAGTATATTTTGTAAGTTTGTTGACTAACACCTTCACATTTGAAAGAAAGAAATGCATGTATGTAACAAAGCTATCATTGTTTTTTGTTTATTTTTGTATTTTTTAAATTTTTTATACTGCATCAATTGAGAAATAAATGCATTTATTTACTTTAACCAATGTATATTATTAAGTTTTAAACTTTTATATGTTAATATCACAATTATATTATTTAAATTTGGATGTATCTAATATTCATTCAAATAATTGTTATTGTTAATCACTTTATTTTATTTATTTATGTAATTTTAACCACTATAAGCCATTGGAATCTGGATATTTTTTATTTATATACATAAATAGTTAAAGTGTACTATAGTAGTATTTACATATTTGCATCAGCTGTCAAATTTTTAAAAATATATTTTGCTTAGTATTTAACAATTGACAAATTATGCTATATTTTTATGTAAATAGAATAATTAGTTGTAAAAAATAAAATAAATGAACAAAAATTGAAGATCTCACATTGATTACTTATTTCTATTTTTTCTTTAAATTGCTTTTAGAGGTTAGGTGCTATTATAATATTAGTACTTAATATCTATCTGAATTTCTAATTGATATGTGTGTATATGTATATATAAAGATTAATTATAAGTTTTTTTAAAATTTGTATTTATAATTAATTTTAATGTAAAGATAAAATTTGTAAACATGTAATTCAAACTGTTGTACCTGTGCAAGAAGTGGAATACTGTTCTGATAGAGAACAATCTTCTAGTGGTCCTTTTGTATTCCATAGGCCAACCTGAGGTTGAAATATATGTAATATATCACATATTAAATGTATAATTTTAACAAAATAATCTGGAACCAAATTATTTGTAATTTGGTTGTCACATTTAATGTTATTGAAAAATGTTTTTATTGTAAAAATAACTTATAAAAATTATTAGATTAAGTGTAAATTTACATATTTTTGATAAAATGCAGTTTTGTTTGTACAATATTTAAATACTTTATTATTTTATTAATAAGTGTTTTTATCATTTTATTGTTTCATCAGGCTTTTTTTCCCTTATTTGTGATTTTGGAGCCTTTTAAATTTATAAAATTTAAATTAGCTATAAGCATCCTGTGATGCATACACTGTTTATAGTTTTTATTTTTGTGAAATTGCTTATCATTCTATCAGTAAGTATTATTGTTACAGGTTTATTTCAAAAGAAAAAAAAAATTGAAATATAATTGAATTTGAAGTTTGTTTATTAATATCTATATTCCTCTTATTCGTTTGACTTAATTTTTAGAATAAAATAATCTTATAATTTTCATATGACATAAATACTTATTCTAACGTTCCAGTAGACTCTTCAGTAGATTATTAAGTATTTATGCCACATTTTTTTTTTTTTTATTAGTATTGGCTCTGAGCACATTGACCCCTAATGGGTCCATTGTGCGCCAATTTCAGTTAGTTGTTTTTAATTAAAACGTTATTCTTGCCACATCCGCGTATCTAAGTAGGCTGGTTGGAGTAACCGATTCATAGCTACTGGGAAGATCCATTCGTTCTTCCCCAAATACTATCACTCTCAGGTGATTGTGACAGGCTTGTGAATCTATCACATCTACACATGATGTGAAAGGCCGTTTCATTCTCCTCCTGACAGAATCTGCATAGCTTAATTTAGCTAATAGCTTATATAAAACTAATTTAGCTTACAGTGACCTGTATAGCTTAGGACCTACGTGCTTAAGATTTGTCTTCGGTACATCGAGGAGGTCTCATGTGTCCCACCTTTACGAGGAGTTAAAGTGGCTCTTCCCTTTTTTCCGCAGAAAATATTTCCTCCACTGCAACTCTATTGTGCTCAGTTAGTTCATTAAGTGCTGTGTTGCATTCCTTAACGACCTTTGAATAGTAGTTGTTAATAGCACCTATTGCTGCCTGAATGTTGATATAGATGGTTATCTTTTTCCCAGTCACATTGCTTCGCAGTAGGTTTTGTGCGCAATGGCAGATTGCCAGTATCTCAGATTGAAATACTGAAGCATATCTGCCAAGTGGTATAGACATTTTTTCTTTATTGTCTTTGTGATAGATGCCTGCTCCAGAGCCGAAGGCTGTTAGAGAGCCATCTGTTGTATAGCAATTAATACCATTATTTGGTTTGTGTTGTCTACTGCTGTCTATCCTAACCTTATATTTTCGGTCCTGATATTCTCGGATTAGAGTGTCAGAGTGCATAGCTAGCACTCCACATCCAATCTTGTTCAGCAGTACTGTGTGTCCTTGACAGAGGACTGGTGAGAAGTATGTTGACTTGCTTAACCTGTATAATGTATTTGTTGCCCGAGCCTCCACCTCCAGCTGCAGCGGTGGCATGTTCAACATTACTTCCATGACGGCCGTTGGTGTCATGCTCATCGCACCCGTTATCATTATAAATACAAGTCTTTGAATCTTTCCTAATGAGGATGAGTTAGCTCCAGTCTTTGCTTTGTGCTACCATAGCAGAGTTGAGTAAAGCATGATAGGTCTGACTGTCATTGTGTACAGCCAGTATACCATTTTTGGTTGGAAATCCAACCTATCGCTCTTTTACAGGCCCATAGGCATTTGAGGGCTTTAATTGTCACGTTCTGAACGTTTTTAGTCCATGACAGTTTTTGGTCCAAGATGACTCCAAGATGTTTAACTTCCTTCCTGAAAGATGACAGACATATTGACCTAAATGCCTTGGGGTCTTCATAGGACTCTTTTCCTGGTTTAGGAATGTATCGCACATTGGATATCCTCCATTTACATTTTAGGTATCCCAGTGCTAGGCTACTTCTTAGGAGTTCCAGAAGGTATGGCCTTATCTCTGAGACCCTTCTGCAGCAATGCTGGAAAGATCTCATCAGTTCCAGCAGATTTAAAAGGAGAGAATGAATTCACTGCCCATTCAAGTCTGCTGTTTGTAATCACTCTTCTTGCAAGACCCCACATACGTGCACCAGTACCACGATCGTGTGTATTGGGGTCAAGAGGTTCCGTTACTGTCGTAAAACAACTTGGGAAATGAGCTTTTGCTACAACACTCAATGTTTCTATTTCATTCGTGGTGTATTTGTCCTCATGTTTGAGTGTTCCCATTGTACCAGTGTTGGTTTGTTTTGACAGTATTTTGTTTACTTTACATACCCCCAGAATGTTGTCAACCTCCAGACAAAACCTTTTCCAGGCTTTTCTTTTGGCTTTCCTGACAGATTTGTGATACTCAGTAGGAGCTTTCCTGTAGGTATCCCAATTGCCAGATGTTTTAGCAGCATTGAACAATCTCCTTGTGAGTGTTCTTTGCTTTGTTAGACTACCATTCTACCAGGGTACTTTCCTGTTGGTTATGGTTTTTTTAGCTTCATTACTGGCCAGATATGCTCTAGTCATTGCATCAGTAATTGAAGTATTTAAACATTCTAATTGCCATGTATTGTGGATAACTTTGGGGCAGCATTTAACAGCCGCCTCCAATTTAGAACTTAGAACTTAATGGGAGTCATTTAAGGATTTTTTAAAGGAGGAATGAGATGAGATACTAGGTTTGTAAGAAGTGACATCAGTGGGGTGATAAGGGATTTAAATTCAGTGAGAAACGATGTCAATAAACTAGTAAGATCTGTGGCATTCAGACGGTGGGAGAATGTGAGGGATTTGATATTGGTTAGGTTGTTGAGGGTTAGGTACATTAGGAGGGATATGATATTGAGGTAGGGGTTGACTTGGTTGTTCCGGCAGGGCCTGACATTCATTAGTCGGGTCTCTACCTCCGAGTAACTTTGCAAAGGAAACCTTGCACCACTTGAGTCCACGATTTTAGCGGGTCCTCTTCTTTGTTTAGGTGTAGCATCCTGGTTCCGGGGCTTGTATTTAGTTTTGAGATTTTTGTATATTTCACAACCTTTATAATTGGCCGGATGACCCGTCAAGCATAGGGCGCAGACTGCAGGATTTTTTATTGATTTGGTACATTCACCAGATTTGTGTGACTCGCCGCTCTTCACGCAGCGCGGCATGTGGTGGCAATGTGACTTAGTGTGGCCGTATGCCTGACAATTGTGGCAATGGACGATTTCTTTTTTCGGATATGGTTTTTCAATCTTTATAATGGTATAGTATAGTCGATGTATGTCGTATATTTTTCCACACCGGTTGTTGGCTCCAAATCCATAAAATATAAGGGCAGTGGAATTATAGTTTTTACTCCTGGCTGGTCTCTATTTTCTTTCCGAACGTTTGTTATTTGGCGAACATTGAATCCTAACGCCGTTAGGTCATCCTTGATAGCCTCAGTTGAGGTTGAGGAGTGTAAGTTTCTTGTCACCACTCTTAATGATCTATCCTCCCTCAGCTGGTATGTGTGAAAATCTGCACCTGTTTCGGTCAAATAGTTGATTATTTTTCGATAGGCTTCAGGTGTGGCCGGTGTTATTTTTGTGTCACTAGTGCTGTTAAGGCATGATAAGCTATGGGGACAGATTTTATTTTGTTGGATACATAACAATTGAAAATGTCTTATATGTTTGACAAAGATCGAAGGAGGCCGTGGTTCTTTAGGTATCGGTGCAGAATCCATCTCCTCTTTGTCATTTTGAAGCACCTGGTATGGGTTGGGTGTAAAAAAAGGAGACTCAGAGACCATTTGTTGTGAAGAGGTGCCTGGTTGTGGTTGAGGTGTAGAATCTTGAATTTTCGCTGGAGGAGTTCCGGGGGGTGTCGTTCGCTCACCACGACGAGAATTGAACCCAATGGGAGTTATCAGTGTTCAGGTTATTAACATTGGCAGAAAGCAGTCAGTAGCGGCCCCCTAGACAAAAAGTACCGTGTTTTGTTTAGGTGGTGAGTTACGAGGTGTGGAGCCAACAGAATGAGATCTCTTAGTGAACATCACTTGATGAAAATATCGCATTTAAGATTAAAAAAATAAATAAATAAAACTTCGTCTGCGGGTCCTTTATCTCGGAGAAACGACGGATGGCTAAGCCACGAATGCTGGAGAGGGAAGTAGCAGATAATGGCGACATAGCGATAAGACACCTAGGATACTGGCTTCACTGTCTATAGAAGTACACAGTAAATATCAACACTACTCACTGTGGTGTGGGCGGGGTAGCCGAATGGGCTAAAGCGTGTGCACTGCACCGCCGTTGCCCGGCAACCTGATATATAAGATTGTGATAAAAAAAATAACCACGAGTTCTCGTCCCGGTGCCGGGGGAGTCTTTTAAATCCCCGCCCACACCCCCCCGCCCGGGAAAACCCCGTATAGCCTTAACGGCGAGGAAGGGGAGGACAAAAAAAAAAAAAAAAAAAAAAAAACTACTCACTGTGGTATTAGTCCATTGTTGTTGCTGCTGTGTCAGCGTTACTAGTTTTTAAATAAAAAAAAGTACACTTTTTCACTTTAAAAAAAGAGAAACTGTGGGAGACGAAGTATAACATGGCAAATCAAATCTAGCGCATGCGCAGAACTTCACGATATATAAGACGGTGTTCCTCCCAGTGCTTCTGTATGGGTCTGAAAGCTGGACAATCTCCGATAAGCACGTTGGCAGGATCATAGCAGCGGAAATGAGATTCTTCAGAAGAATAGCTGGCAAAACTAAGAGGGACTGTGTTAGAAATGACAGAATCTTAGATGTCATCAATCTGTGGCATCCTGAAAAAGAAGCAGTTGAAATGGTTCGTGCACATCTGCAGAATGGACGATACCCGAAGGGCCAGGTGGTTTATGGAAGCCAGACCAGAAGGCAGAAGACCTCATGTTAAAGATACCAGATTTTGATATTTCAAAGACCAATATTTTAGCCACACGGCCTAATTTAGCCAAAGAAGTAGAGTTGGACTATTGGTTGATTTTTTTTTTTGTACCTCTAATTTTTTTTTACTGATAAAGCGACCTTTCAACTTTACTTTATCAAGATTCAATGTGTTTTACTAGGATTCGCGTGAATTTACGTTCTCACTGAAAGTTAACAAGTAGAAACTTAAACGAAAGATATGCCAGGTTGCCAATTAATTGGTCTTTCCAGTGACCGAGAATTAATGACCTTATTGTAAAAGTTGGAATTGTATATGGATTTCTCATGTCCGGGAAATGTGCCGAAGTTTTTTTTGTTGTGTTCCTTTGGTGATAAATAAGATTTTTCTTTACTAGAATTATATATAATATGTTTGGA